AAACCCGAAACCCTAAACCCTAGCAAGGGCCACTTGCAGGCCAAGGGGCAGGTACCGGATTTTCTCGACGTGCGCTTCCTTGCGTGAGCAAGCTTCATGGGAAAACACAAGCTACTGCAGGGTCTTTACTGACTACACCAGGGCTTTGGGCCATACTAAATCATGAGCATACTAATGTGGGGGCTACAAACTTGAATAGCTAATCCTTAGACAGTAAGAGAACCAACCTTACTTGCATTGCTAGAAATACTGTTGATGGACGAAATCCTGCATGACCCAAAATATAGTATAGTACCATAAATCCCATAGTGTAGGTATATAAGGTCATGCAGGATTTTGTCCATCAACCGTAGTGTACAAACCAAGGCAAAGGTCCGAAACCTTGAAGCGAAATTTTCTCGCACCAGACCCTGAACTCGTGAACCGTACACTCAGGCCCAGAGTTAGGGTTTAGGGTTTAGGGTTTAGGGTTTAGGGTTTAGGGGTTTAGGGTTTAGGGGTTTAGGGGTTTAGGGGTTTAGGGTTTAGGGGTTACCGAAAACCAGCTAAACCCAACACTCTACATACCCGAAGCCCAGAAACCCCGACACCCTGCACCCAAGCATTCCTATGCTAAGTGCTTTATAATCACCCGGCTCTAAGGTAACCCGACTCCCTACGCTCTAAAGCCTCCTGAACCTTAAAAAAACAAAAACGTTGCAATCCAATCCTCCGAGGCTCCTTAGATGCCAGGACACCCTTTTTTAATGGGTTTAGGGTTTAGGGTTAAGTTTTTGTCACAAGGGACCCCACTGCTGCCCTCACTGACCAGCTCGACCCAAGAACCCTCAACCCTTGCAGTGAATCCCAGAAAGTTGGAAACCGATTTAAGGACAACTGGTGTTGGGAGTTCCCTGTACATTACTCTTGAGGATTGAGGCTTTTGGGTTTCCAACTTTTGGTCCTCTACTGTAATCCCAGACCGTCAACCCTAGATCTGGAAGGCTTTTGGGCTTCTACATACTCTAATCAACCCTAGATCCGGAACGCCAGACCCCTGCACCGGAAACCCTCCGAAACGTCTCTCGTTTGCCAAGACCCGAATCCCGAAATCCCAGGCCGTCAACCCCAACCCTATAGACCCTAAACCCTCCCGAGGCTTCCTTGTTGTCGAGATCCCAAACCCTAAACCCTAAACCCTGAAACTAAACCCTCAACCCTTTTTCCCTAAACCCTAAACCCTAAAACCCAAAATCCCTAAACTCCAAAGCCTCCGAGGCTCCTTGTTTGCCAGGATGGACTGCATCACCATCGTATGGTCGCTCTGCGCGCTGTCGATGGCACTCCTGGGCTCAAGCCCTAAACCCTAAACCCTCAACCCCTTAACGATGAACCCGGGGCCCCTGAACCCTGAACCCACTAGAACCCAAAACCCTAAACCCCGAAACACTAAACCCTAAAACCCTTTTGCAGCCAGACCTCCTAAGGTGTTGCCAGGTTTAGGGCACTGATAACCCTAAACCCTAAATCCTAAACCCCGAAAGCAAGCCTAAACCATATAGAGCCGTTAGGGCCTATAGGGCTCAGGGAGGGTCCTTGGGGCTCTGTGTCAAAATGGTTGCAGGCGGAGTCTCTTTTTTTTTGTGGGGGGGGGAGGGGGGGGGTTAAGTTAGGAACTTGTGTCTTGGTTTGGGGTTGGTTTGGGGTTTAGGGTTTTGGGTTTAGGGTTTAGGTTGTTGTTGCTTTGGGTTTAGGGTTTAAGGTTTTGGGGTTTGGTTTTAGGGTTTGTGCAGTCAGCGCCATTTCCGCAGAGCCAACATCGGCCGCCAAGGCGACACTCCAAGCAGCAAGCCCAAGACAAAACCAACCCATCCGACACCGCAAGAAACCAGGAACAGGGGGTTTAGGGTTTAGGGTTTAGGGTTTTTTCCCTCTCGCATGGCAGAGAACAAAACTCACAGGCGAGGTTAGCATAGGACAATGTTCTGAGTTGCTGCACCTAATTCAGTAAGCACTCACTCTCGACTTGCCATGACAGAATAAACAAAAGAGAGTTTAGGGTTTAGGGTTAGGGTTCAGAGCTTCTCAGCTGTATGCCTCTGGGTTTGGGGCTTATTACGAACCCGTTAACCGCCAACCAAGTCAAACGAGCATCCAAGTGGAGCCCGTTTCTCACAGGACCTCAACCACCTTGCTTACAGTATGTCATCCTGATGCATCCAGACATCTTGACTTGTTGCCCGAACTCTAACGGCCAAACCAACAAGACAGCTCCAAACACAGAATGCGCATGTGAGGCTACTGCACACTCCACACCAACCAACAAAACAAGAGAAACATGCTGAACTGCCAAGTTGCTGACAGAAGACACCAGTAACCACCTGCAAATCGATTTGCTGGGGCAGAAAACTCTAAACCCCACACCGTCCGAGAAAGCTGTTGGTTGTTTCTGGACCCCAAACCCCACCTTTGGGCTTTAGCACCTACGCCTCAACGCTCGACGCCCGTTACCGTGCCACGGTTTCTTGCTCAATTCCGGTCTCTTATCAATGCGAGGCGTGCCTAAGTAATGGTGATCGGAACGGCAGAGCGACAATCATTGAATCATACTGGGCAAAGATCCTAGCGAGAAAGATCAACAAAAACATCTGCTTCACAAGCTGCGAAGGTGAAAAAAACTTTGCCAGGACACCAAAGAGCTAAGACCTGAGACCTTTTCACCCATGATGGCAGGCTCCGGACGGATGGTAGGCCACTGTCGGTTCAAACAGTAGGGCCACTTTCTGGAGTAAACGACTCCCAATTCAAGGTGTTTGATACACTGCTTCTCCTTTCCCTGTCGCTGCAAACTGCACCTGCCTATCGCACTCGCGCGGCATAGTGGGGGACATAGACATGCACCCGAAATGCTGCTTTCCCAAGGAACGAAGTTTGAAGACAACAAGCCGTGCAGTCTGGAGGCATTGAGCACTGCGAAGTACCTGAGCTGCTTGACCAGCAGTTTGGGGCCTAGTGATCCTTAAGGGAGTCAACCCTAAACTTTAAACCCTAAACCCTAAACCTTTTGGAGTCTAAACGTTGAAGTTTCGTTGGACCCTCACTCTCGGTTCGGGGTTGCAGGGTGTGGGGTTTGGCTTCATTCTGCGCCGGGGGCCCGGCTTCCTTCAGACGGAAGGCTACGACTTACGCTTCCAACACGCTAAAAGCCCTGAACCCTAGACCCGACACCCTGAAGTATGTGCCTGTGCCCCAAAGTAGCCAGAAGCCAGGTCCCCTTTTGAAGAGAAACCTGGCTTCAGCAGAAAACCCAAGCTCAAAGTCCCTAGACCCTCAACCCTAAACGCATACAAAACCAATGAGGAGTACAAGCTCTCAACCCCAGTGCCCTTCTGAAGCCCTCCAAACACCTGAAACCCCATAACACCCTGACGGAGCCCCATGCAACATTAGACCACACTGTAATCAAAACCCTCAGGCCCCAAAAACGCAAATCCTACCTAGACCCGAAAGAACCTACCGCTTCCTTAAGCACCCATAGGAACCCTGAAGAAGCTACGTTTTTAAGGACTTACAGCAGGAAATCACCATAAGGAGCCCGAAAGAAGTTAGGTTATACAGGGTTAAGGCAAACCCTAAGGCGGCCAAACCATTAGGGTTTAGGGTTTAGGGTTGCTCCTGAAACGCCAAAGCACGTGAAGGCCACATAGAAGATGAAGACGAAAGCCCACAAAGGTGACATGGCCTGGGCTGTCCTAAGGCCTTGGTGTTTTATCTAGCTTTAGGTTTAGGGTTTAGGGTTTAGGGTTTAGGTTTTAGGGTTGGGGTGGTGGGTTTTGGGGGTTTAGGATTTGGGGGTTTTGATCTTGGAGGTTCTTAGGTTTCGGTCTTTACGATTTTGGAGCTTGGGGGGTTGTAGGGGTTTGCGGGATATTCGGGATCTTGAATGTTGCTGACACACCGGGGCAATTCCCGGTTCCGTAAACCCTAAATCCGGTTTCGGGGCTCACTTGTTAAGGATTGGGGCTAGCATGGCCCAGAGGGAGCCTGATGAAGAACCCCCGCTTTTAATGGGGACAGTGATGGGAAACCTGATGTTAAAAGCCTGAACAGAAGATGGCCATAAATCGGGGGCAATGGTGTCAACCTAACTTTAGAGGCTGAACACTCGCGGTTCGACAAGTCGTCGGAAATCGAAAAAAGAAATCGAATGTGAATCATTATTCAGACCGCAACTCGAGCCATCACGATGATGGCTATAATGGTTTGTCGTTCTGGCTGTGACCACAGCTGCCACTGACGACGACAACTCTGCCAACAGTTCCTTGCTTGATGCAATTGTTGTACGAGTGTCATACTTGTTGCTACTGTTCGTCGGCTTTGCGATCTAATTCGGCTGCATGCATGCTAAGCAGAAAAAGCGACGAGGCATGATGCTATGATGTGGATGTGCCATTCCGCATACTCGTGCTTTAAGAAGTGAAATTAATGCCACTACCAGCCATTCATGGCACAATCCGAAGTACAGGGCAAACGCAAAGCCCAAGAAGCAATCAGCGGTTGGATGACATCTTCCCAACTGACACCTCCGGCGATACCTGCTGGCAATCTCGGAGTGAGTGGCTTAGGCTTAGGTTCCTAAAGCCCGCTTCAATTCCAAACCCCAAAATACCCCTTTTCAGCCCCCCCTAAACCCGAAGGCAAACCACGGAAAAACCCTAAACCCACGAAGCCCCAAGGCTTAAGGGCTTATGGTGTAGGGTTTTTTCCCTTTCGCGAACTATGCTCTCAGGCGAGGCTGAATAGTACATCCGCCAAGTAACGGCAATTAGTCAGTGTGTCGCTCAGCTCCCTATGAAAATTCCAATCAAAAGTGTAGGGTTTAGGGTGTAGGGTTTAGGGTGTAGGGTTTTGGGTTTAGGGTGTAGCCTCAAACACCAAACGCTTCTTTTGTTGCCCTAAACCTTAAACCCTAAACCTTAAACCCTAAACCTGAAACCCCAAACCTGAAACCCCAAACCCTAAACCCTAAACCCTACCTAAACCTTAAACCCTAAACCTGAAACCCCAAACCCCTAAATCACGGGGATCCCGAACCCCCCCGCGCTGGGGCCTGAAACTTCGACCCTCCAGTCGAACTGAAAAGGCCCTGGGGGGGGGCCGAAACTCTAGGGTTTAGGGTTTAGGGTTTGGGGTTTAGGGTTTAAGGTTTAGGGTTTAGGGTTTAGGGTTTAGGGTTTAGGGTAGCTGATCTATAGAGGCCCGACCATAGACTGAGTGACTGGATTTTTAAGTTGTGTAGGCGCACCTTTGTAGTACCTGCCCGCAGTCGGCACACAACTAGAAGGACTGGGGTTTAGAATCAAGGGTTTAGGGTGATCTAGAGGTCTGAATTGTAGACGAGAGTTTCGGCAGGTATCGGGTGGTCTTTTAAACCAGGCATGTACTCGGAAACCCTTACGGGTTACTACTACTTTTTACTCAGGCCTCAAGACTACTTCAATTCACTCATGTGTTATGAAACCTCATAGTGACCCCTGCCGCGACTCTCCTGAAACCCTGCGAACTCTGTTGAAAGCCCTGTAAAACCCGATGTAATCCCGATGAGCCCCTATCTCAGACTTTGTGGACGGCGTGCTCATGAAGAGGCTGAGCATGGCAATGGGCAGCGAATAGAAGTATCGCTCCGCGGCCTGGTCGGCTTTCGGGATGCATCGGGTGCCGGAGATTTCCGGGGGGTTTCATCGGATTCCTTCAAGCGGCTTCGTGGCCTAAGCTTTCCTAAAGCCCTAAGCTTCGGCCCTCAACCTCGAAACCCTACACCTCCGAACCCGAAACCCCACACCTCCCCACCTTGAGCAGGGACTGCAATGCACTAAGCCCTGAATACCTTCAGCCAAGCTCCAGACCATAAGCCCTAAACCTCCAGGCTTTAAACGCCCACAAACGGCCTCTGGGAGTGGCTCTGCATTCGGATCCAGGACGTGGTCCCCCACGGCCTCAACGAAGCGTCTTGGGCTTTGAGGGGAGGGAGGTTGCAGAGGGTGACATAGGGGATTTGCCAATTCTTACTTATTTTGGGGGTTTTAGGGTTTAGGGTTTAGGGTAACTGTACAAAACCAGAAGGATCCAAACGGAAAGATAGGCATTGACCATGATTCCGACACCCAAGACATCCGTTACCGCTTGCCTCCGGCAACCCTGAAGCGCTTAAACTTCAAACCTGAAACTATCAACGGTTTCGATATCTCCTGCATGACCGACAACAACGGATTCCCAGAGCCGTAATCCGCATTCCATCTGCTTACTTAATTTCGAGTATGTCCTATCCGATCCTTAAACAGCTCTAAGCCTAAAATTCGAACCCAATTCCCAAACCCCAAGCCCAAGACCGTACTTAAAGCCAAACCCGAACCCTCCAGCTCCCAATGCTCTTTTACTTGACACAACCAACAGAGCAACCGAAGCGTCGGTCCTGCGCGAACAAAACGGCGAAAACATAGACCTTTGCGATTCGGGTTTGGGAGTCTTTTTTTTTAGGGTTTAGGGTTTAGGGTTTAGGGTTCGAATGATTAGGGTTTGGGAGTCTAGGGTTTCGGCTCTCACACTCGGACAATCCAGGCGAGGCAGTCTAGGGTTTAGGGTTCAGGGTTCAGGGTTTAGGGTTTAGGGTTTAGGGTTCGAATCCTCGGCCATGGCAGATGTTTGGCATTGGTTGGTAACATAGGCAATGTAATGAGGCATTGGGTCTGCAGGGTTCCGTAGGCTTCAGGGTGTGCTGCAGCTGGTCTGGCTTAATCAGCATCACGCCTTCTTGCGCGGGTCCTGAGACCAAGGATCCCAATGTGACTCTCAGGTCTTTCTTGTTCAGAGAATTGGTTTAGGGTTTAAGGTTTAGGGGCGGACCACATGTCCAGGAGCGCGGGATGCAGGGTGCACGTTTGGTCAGAAGATCAGGGCTGCGTCTAAGCTTGCGAAGGTCTGCCATGATAATAATACTAAGTACCCCTACTGATATTCAGCAACAATCGTGATAACAAATGGTAGCCATAAGCAAGCCTGAAAAACCTACAATCGACATAAGGTTTAGTAATACGCTTCAGTGGGTCGGGCTGTGATGAACGAGGAAGCCGATCTGACAAACTTTGGCCCGGGGACACTTGAAGAAGTTGGGGGCTTTTTTCCCTCCTACCTAGCAAGGGTTTAGGGTTTAGAGCTTTAGGGGTTTAGGGTTTAGGGCACTGACTTGCCAGGGCGCAATGAGCGCCAGGAGCACCAGAGCCCAGATCAGTGACTTCCTGAGTTCGTGAAACGCTTCAAAAAACTCGGAATAGGTTTCTTATAAGAGCTCCTTTACAGAGTCCCTACCACCTACAAAGATTCCATAAGGGTCACCATAATAAGGCCTTACGGGGTCTCAATAATTAGAATAGGGTTTGGGGTGCAGAACAAGTATGCTTGTGATAAGAACAAAAATATCACGCATATTTAAGCTTCCATATTGCCAGAGTGTGCGTGCACTTGAGCTTGAACTTGGGGTTCAGGGGTCGAGTGCTCGAGGTGTTGAGGATTTGGGGCTTGGGGCTTGGGGCTCTTTGGCTCTTGAGGTGCCGGGTAGAATACACCGTAAACCCTAAGCCCTAAACTTTTAAACCCATCATCAGCGAAAGCATATCTGGAAACAGGGGCAAGAATCATTAGCACAGGATTTTTGGGCTATATGATGAAAGAACTGACAGAAAGAACACTCGAATGCTTAGAATTCCCCTATATTGGCTTTGCCCTTTCCTAAACGATCTGCATTGTCTATAGCTCAAGCTGTGCTATTGCACCTGCGATGGCCTGAAGATGTTCGGAAACTTTGAGAAGCCTTGAAGAAGTTCTCTTAAGTTGGCCGGGCATCAGCGTGTAGATGATCGACTGGATCAGTGTACCTGAGCTCTGGGACTCCCATGTAGGACTGCAGGGTCGTTTGCTGGTAAAAACGACGGCCAGATTTGCCCTTGGAAGTGCTTCAGCCTTCAAGTGGTACGGCATACAATCATGCAGGCGGTTCAGTAGAACTATCTCTTGGAACGGATACCACAAGAAATGATGAGGCCGGCAGGGCTTGGAGTGTCTGGACTTTGCTGGCTTAGAATATCTTAGAATCTTAGCATATTGCAATATTGGGAATCCCAGATACAGGTCTAAGGATTTGGGAGGGGACGATATGGGAACTTGCTTCACCACCACCCACCACCACCACCACCACCACCACCACCACCACCACCACCACCACCACCACCACCTCACGGTTTCCGACGATGGTGCTGTAACCTATTCTTTGCTGGTCACTGCCATAGCTATGGCTTAATGTTCAGGATTTGGGGTTCAGAATAGTGAAGGCACTGTCTGGGCGTAGTTTCACAGTGTCGGCGCTAATCCCAACTCACGGGGAACACAACAAAAATTGAAAATCTACTTTGCATCTCTCGAGGGGCAGTTTATTTATGGCTCTGGTTCGGATTCTTGGGTTGCGGGGTCCCTGTTGCAATGACCCCTACGTAGCGCCGGTACACTCCCAAGACTTCCGAGAGCTGTAGACTTATGTCCACTCCGCAATCATATTTGAAGAGCCTGAGCTAGAAACACAGAAGCCTCACACACCTTCTTGCCTGCAGGTTGTCAATGAGTTTCGATTTTTAATCAACAGGCAACCCTGTATTAAAGAACAGCTACATAACCTAACCTCTAGACCCCCGAAACTCAAATCCTGTAAACTCTTCTAGACCTGGGGCTTTGCATATGGCAGGAACCATCCTATATACCCTAAAGCCCGAGAAGCCCTGAACGTCAAACGATTTCCATCCCCAGCTGCGAAGGGCCATCACGAAGCGCAGGATCCTTCCCAGCTTTGCTACGCGAACCTCAGCTCTCTCAGCTTGGCGGTGACCCCAAAGACTTACCTTTTTAAGGAGCTGTATATAGAAATCATAATGAGGAGCCCGAAAAAGGAGTTTAGGATTAAGGCGACGCCGGGTAAACTCTGGGTGGCGGCGGAAGAGTGCACACAGTTTCGGCATGGCTTCGGGTTAAGAGTTTAGGGCCAGCTTAGGGATCACCCAACTCAGTTCTGCCGGAGTTTGAGAGTAGTGTTGGCTTGTCTCCAGTCGTCTTGGCACTGTGGGCTCTTTTTCAGTCCTGCATTTTCTCTCGTTGAGGATTCAAACCTGAACTGTCAGCGCTACTGCTTGAGTCGCTTGGTGGATAGGATCCTACATTATGTACTTAGGTTACCTGTTCTATAGTACTGCCCCTAAACCCTAAAACCCCCTGTCGCAAGATTGCGAGTGCTGGGGTCTAAAACCGCTGACCAAGGCACCACGCGGGTGATGCGGATGAGCCTGCAACCACGGGGCGATTCCGGAAGTTGGTGCAGGGCTTCGGGCTCTTGTCGCGTCTGGGATGGTCGTTCTGGGGTTGCGTCATTCAGGGCTTAGCCCTCATGCTTGAAGGCTCTGGAGCGTTCTTTTGTAGGGACTCTTTGCCTTCCGCCTAGGTCGCCCTGCAGGGGAGCAGCGAAGACCTAACGCCAATTCTCAACACGTTGTCCAAGAGGAGTATCGGAAAATCAAGCCCACGCCCGCGCCCTAAACCCTAACCCGTAAACCCTGAACCCTGAACCCTTAAACCTTAGACGCCCCAAAACTCTTCGCCCGAAAACCCTAAAGCCGTAAGACTCGAAGCCCCCAAAACCCCGCCAAACCCCTGACACGCCAGGCCTCGCCATCCGCAGCCCTGTCAGGCCGGCGACGGAGTCGAGGGCATCGTTGTTCTCGAGAACGGAACTCCTTTGTGCAAAAAGGTTCAAGGTTTAGGGTTTAATATAGGGACCTTAATAATTAGAAAAGGGTTTCGGTGGCATGTCATACTATGATTATACTAAGGCACCCGCAAAAAAAAAAACAAACATATTCTAATTGTTAAGGCCCCTACATTAGGTCGCTTAGGGGTTCAGGGCTTTGGGGTCTAGGGTTTTAGGGTTTAGAGTGGAGGTTTGGGGCTCATGGTGTCTTGGCATCGTCTGGGAGTTCGAGTTGAGTCGAGTTGAGGACTTCTGGTTTGGGGTCTGGGGTTCATCGGCTTTAGGGTTTATGGGTTAAAGGCTTTGGGTTTTGGGTTTAAGGCTTATTTTTTGCAGGGTCTAGGGCTTCGGTTTTCGGGTTGAGGGTTTATGCTTCTAGGGTCCTTTGTTTCATGGGTTTTTCTAGGAGCCCTAGAGTTGCCTAGATGGGTCTTTTCATAAGGAATCTACAAAGGTAGCGTTTGGGGTTGGGTCTATGTCTATGAAGTTGTCTCATGCTTAAGTAGGCGGGAGCCCTGTGTCTTATGGTACAAGAGGCCCAGCCCCGAAACGCGATTACAGGGGCCTTGCTATACAATCATAAAGTGGCTTTGGTGGTGTACATCGTCGTATAGATGTATCGGGACCCTATGCGGATAGTATCCTTAGGGGCTGAGTACCCTAGC